TCAAGTGGTAGTGCTCACCTGGCATGTGTGGGGTGCTGGGTTCAATCCTCAGCACCACATAAAGATAAAGATATTGTGTCCACTGAAAACCAAAAAAATAAATATTAAAAAATTCTTTCTCTCTCTCTCTCTCAAAAAAAAAAAAAATTAAAGAATATTATCCTTTCAATAGGTGTCTCTTAATTATCTTTTAGAAAATATGATGAAGGTTACTTCCCAGTGGAGGGAATAACATATAAATCTTACCATATTTTTTGTGGATAATAGGTCTAGTCAGAGAACTTATATCAATGAATTTCCAACCAATTTTGCAACTTTTATTGCTCAAAACCAATGTGTGACTTTAATTTGAAGAACATCAATCTTAATACAATGTTCTCCCAAATCTCACAATTATCCAACAAAAGTAATATATAGGAATTAGCAGAGTATTTGAGTCAGTCAATTTTAGTCCTCCAAGGAGAATTGTCAAAATTGGAATCTAAGTCAGCAGTTTAATATATTTAGTGTTTAGTCAAGGATGTGAATTTATTCACCAAAATTAATCCTTACCTGAAACAGTAAAAAATCATTAGGCAATAAAGACCTTCTTTAACAAAAATAAACTTAACATTTTAATAGGTCTTTATCTTGTCAAAATATGGGCAAATATTTTAGCTTATATCAGCATAGTAAAATTAGGGAAATACCCTGAAGTATCCTTGAATTAATCAGTTAAATTTTTATGGTCAATCCAGTACATATAAATGTTCTTCTCAATTGTTTTAACTTTCTATGTCATCTGTCTAGATAATGATGTAAAGATCTTTCTATTTAAACAACTACTTTTATCATTAAAATCTAGAATTATAAAGACCTGTTTCACCCAAAGATGATCCCTTTCTTCTTCTTAGGACCTCCTATGTGTGCTTTCTCTCTGTTGAAGCATCTTTTTCTTTTATTAGAGTTTTTCCTAGTTACACTTTGGAACAATTTCTGAAAACCGTAGAGTCTAAGCAAATTATTATACTTTCATAAGAAATGTCTGAATGAAAATACAGTTAAAGCCCTTGGATATTCTTATAGACAAAGTCATATCTGTTTATTCTAAAAGTTTGTGCAGTAATTTGAGATTACTTGATTATGTTTTGAAAGTAAATTTATAGTAAAATACATTCATCTCAACTATCTGTAACTAAAAGGCAGAGCATCAGGTAAATGCATGTATAAGAAATATATAAATTATGTGTTTTCTGTTGAAGAAAAACAATTAGATAAATATATATTAATTAAACAATTTGATATATGTTAATTATTTTATGGATCAACAACTATAGGTTATTCAAAGAGCATAACTTGTAGTTGTATTAACTTTATGTAACCACGTGGTTCTTAAGATATTTTGGATCCATTTCAATTTATTTTTAACTAAGAGTGCATTCTTATATATGATTCACACGATGTAGCTGAAATAAGATCCTTATGTATATTTTATTCTTTTTGACAATACATAGGAATGAGAATAAGGATTTCTTGATCACAGGAACATTGCCGGCTTTTGTTCCTGCAACAAGCAAATGCATTCCCATAACCTCCAAAATTAAAAGCAAAATATAAAGAGGCATATGTTTGATATTTCTAATCAATAGAACATTATTTAGTAACAACCATAGAGAAAAGTCAGGTTATGGAACTCAAAAATAACTTAAATTTGGGCTGCCACACAGTAACCTGTGGAATTAGGTTTTTCCTGGAAAAGATGTAGTTTGTTAGCATTTACAAGTGGGGATTCTTAAAAGTGCAGGCTCTGTAGTTTCAGGATCAAATCTGTGTAAAACAGGAAGGAAGGTTAGTGGCTGGGAGGCAGGACCAGAAGTCCTGTCTGAGTGACAGTGGAAGGACCAATAGGAAGCCTTGGAAATGCGGGAGCAGGACCAGGAAGTCCACTTGGCCAGCCAGGCTTTGGGTGGTTACCATGGTGATGGAAACAGCATGGAGCCCATTGCCCACAGTTCATGGAAGAGGCTCCCTGAGCTTCCCAGTGGGTTGCATTGCATTTGGTTTGTTCCTATGAAGCCTTGTCTGGAGACCTGCACTGCTGTTCCGCACTCTTGCAGTTCATGGACGTTTTCCTGTATGATCCCTTCACAGTGTCCTCCTGTCTTTTGTACTTTCCCTGGGAGCACATGGGTCCTTTAAAGGTGAGTTTTAACCACAGACACCAGTGTTACTATCAGATTTTAAGGCATTCTGCACCCAGGCCAGGTTGCTTAAGGGTTCAAAGCACTGTTGGTGGTGGCTCTAGTTACAGACACCACAGGGAGCAGCGGCTAGGCTCAGGTACAGTCTTTCTGATCCATAGGACAAGAGTGTAGCAGAGGTTCAGAACCTTCTGAGTATTCACAAAACAATAAAAATATAAAATTCATTTCTCTACAGGTAGAGAATCCTTGTATCATCTCTCAGCACAAAAATTTTCTTCCTTTTTTCTCACTGTCCCAGCACAGACTTCTAGTACATAAACCCTCCCAAAAAATATCTTAATGTTTCAAAATATAAAGATTCACAAAAACAATCCCAAAAAGTGCACAAAAGCACTTTTCCCATGAAAGAGGACTGAACTTAACATATCCCACTAATCATCTTAATAATACTTTACATTTATTTAGAGTCTAGAATTATAAAATTATTTTTAATAAACACAGAATTTTCCCAAATGTTTGAAAGTTTAACCTCACAGATTTTTCTTCTAATTCACTTACTTTCTACAATTCAGCCCACAATACTCTGCAATCCGAAGCATGCTTAACTTCTGAAGAGAAATTCCAAATGCACTAAATTTATAAACATCACTCTGGAGTGGCCATATGGGCCACCAATTGTCACATTTCTCACACTAAAACTCTCAGGCTCACTCCAGGTGAACTCTTTAGGTTGAGTGCCACCAGAGGCCCTGACCTCTAAGAGCTGAGTCCCTAGGCAGGGACAAGCATGTGTCCATGTAAGGGGTAGCAAATAGATGGCACCAACTCCCCTGCCTCAGTGTTCTCAAAAGTTTCTTATGCTTAAAGTAAAGGCCCTGATGTGCTCAGGCTCAGGCTTTCGGAGTTGTTCCCCTGGGCTCTGGTGCCACTACTAAAGTGTTGCTGCCAGATCTCTGGGTCTTGCCCTCATGTGCTGCTTCCCAAGAAGCAAGGAAAGAGCAGTGGAAACAGCAAGAGCTCAGTGCTCTGGCTCCTCCAGGTAGCTGTGCTGGGGCCTCTGCTTTAACACAGACCGGTGCTGCTTCACACTCTGTTGCTCCTGCACTCTGCCCACCCCAGCCTGGAGAGACAGCAGTGCTGAGCATGCAATGGATGCAGCTCTTGGTCTTCTCTGAAAGGGTTTCTCCTGGCCTGTGTGGGCTTCCTTACTTCCTCTGTATACCTAGGTATTCTTATTTGGGGGCACAATACAGTGGAGTGAACCCAAGTGTTTTGAAACAATGAGCCAAATCCCCAGCCCCCTGTATTTAAATTTTGTTTTCAATTTTGAGACAGGGTTTTGCTCAATTGCTTAGTCGCTCCCTGAGTTGCTGAGGCTGGCATTGAACTTGCAATCCTCCTGCCTGAGCCTCCTGAACCTGGGTATTTTTGAAACCTGATTTCCAAAAGAAATTCTTCCTCAGCTTTCTTCTCTAGACTTCAGGTGGTGGTTGAGTGCCAAAACAATAACTTGCTACTATTCCTATATGCAGGCTGTGGGTTTAGTTAACTCTTTTTAAGGAATTCCACCTATTTTTTCACAGTAATTTCTTCTGACTTAGAACAGTGAGAACCTTTTTAAAATTTCTTTAACATGTTAACATAGTTAGTTCTGTGATAAATTTAATAGAAATTAAAGAAACTTGGAAAAGATCTGTGTGCAGTCTGTAGCCAATGACTAGGGTCTCATACTGGGAGGTCACACCCCTGTCCTGCACCAGAGAGGGGCTTTCTGAAGGGTGAGTGAAGGTCACACCCTGCTTGCTGCTCTCCAAGACTGCTTCATGGAGCTGTGGAGAACCTCTTGGGGCTTTCACACATGATGATGTTCTTGTTCTAATGGTTCTGCTTGTGTGTGGAACATTCCCTCTCTCTGGAGTCATCATCACCTGGGATGTAAATGATTTTCCTTCTTGCAAGGTCCGTTGACTATATTTGTGGGAGTCTCTTTCTGGGCTCTGTTCTGGTCTATGTTGTGGTAGTACTGTGAGGGCCCCAGACTCTGAGTTGTGTCATGTTGGTGTCTATTTTGATCTTTTTTTCTTTTCTGCTTATCGTTTTTAGAAAATTGTTTACCTTATTTTTCTATAAAAGTAAATTTTTCCTAGACATACTGGTGAGTACCTATAATCCTAGCTGCTGGGGAGGCTGGGGCAGGAGGATCATAAGTTTAAAAGCTAGTCTCTGCAACTTAGGAGGCCCTGAGCAACATACAAGATCCTGTCTCAAGATATCAAATGTGTCAGGGATGTGCCTGTGTGGTTCTGCTCCCCTGGATTTGATCCACACTGCGTTTTTTGTTTATTTATTTGTTTTTCAATTTGTCACACATAAATAAGTAAATAAAAATATATTTCTCTTAAATTTCTGAAATGGGTTTTAGTCTTTCACAGTTAAATGTACAATAAATCACATTTGTCTGCAGAATAGAGGGAGGAAGTACTTGCCACGTAGATTCTCATTTGCCTGGACCATCATTGTGATCTGTCCCCAAGACACCTGCTGTCACCCATAATTTTTCCATGCCATGAAGAACAGCCCACTAAAGGCTTTCTCTTGGGCTCCTACTAGCCTCTGTTGATACTGTCGTGCTTCAAATGTCATGTGTCTTATGTCCTTGAACATGGTTCTTTGTGAGTGGCAAGGTCCTGTTCTGGTAGGTGGTGTTTTGGGCTGTTCCACACTGTGCAGAAATCATAGCCTGCTTAGAGACCCACATGGAGTGGCCTGTTTCACAAGCAGTCATCGTGGGGTATTCGGGATTCTGGGCTGCAAACCTGCTGCTTTAACACACCCTGGAAGTGCTTGTGCCTGAGGTTTCCTTGCACCAGCTGTGCTACAGGAATGAGGAATCTCTTTCATGACAGACCACCATTGTACATGTGGCCTATCTTGATCAAAGTGTCCTTGAGCAGAACGGTGGTGTGTGTCTCATGACTGTACATGATCTGAGTGAGACATCTGCTGTTCAGAAGAGCTTGAGAATCATTGGACATTCATGGTTGCCACAAGGTTTGGAAAAGGATTTTCTGCTGTCTGTTAAGAAAACTGTTTTTCAGACCTATATAACTTTGTAAGGCTGTTGTTTCGATAAGGTGACATCTGGGGGTCATCGAGTTTTTCCTAAGACATGCCATCTTTCCATACACCCCATTCTGCTTTGACATTAACCACTAGAAATTATTATATTGTTGTGTTTATTAATCAATGTGCTTGATTACTAATGGGTAAATTTGTTCTGCAGTAAAGCTCCTGCAAACTTCTAGTTGTCCTCAGTGTAATCATCCAAGTTGAGCTCAGTCCCCAGTGAACACATTGTGACAATCTGTGTGGAAGATTGTCTAACTGTTGTCTATGAGGGAAACTCTTTAGTGACTCCATACTCGGAGGGTGTGGGTTGGGGCTGATTCTAGGCACTTCTTTAAGGATGGAACAATTGACTTTCAGAAGGAAACAGGAGATCAGTAAATACCATGTTGTCTATATTAACTGTGTAGGCCCAGTGAGCCACTGTGGTTGGCAGATTCTCTCAAATGCTGAGTTTTGTGATCCCAGCAATTTCCTACTCAGTCAGCTTTCTTTTCTAAGGGTAAATAATATGGAGAATGCTAATATTAGCTCTCTACTGCACAGGATGTTGGTAGGATGGTGATAGAGATGCAATCAACAAATAAGTTAAGGGTGACCCGAGAGCCCCTCTTACTTCCTGTGAACTCACCAAAAGTGAGTTCACCAAAGGAAGGGTGTACAATACTCTCTGTTTACCTTGTGTGTGGGGCCCAATTCTAGTGTTAGAGTGGCTGTGAGGACTTAAGTACACTAAAGATTTCATGGACAAAATCGTGGAATTAATCGGGAGGCCAGGGAATCGTGAACATCATGCATGGTGAGTATAGATTTCTCACACTGTCAATCTCTCCTGGCCTCCACTACACATTTGTGGGATATTTTAGATCTCAGTGACCTTTGAGGATGTGGCCGTGAACTTCACCCAGGAGGAGTGGACTTTGCTGGATGCTTCCCAGAAGAACCTTTACAGAGATGTGATGCTGGAAGTCTTCAGAAACCTGGCTTCTATAGGTAATAATGTTGTGTAGTTATTTAATCAAATAGAGAAGTCGTGTTTATTTTGGTCATTTATGTAGAACATGAAAAGACAATCAATTGGTGAATTATTGTAGCATAAAATGCTCCATAAATTTGGAAAAGCATTTCTAGCTCCTAAAAATTTATAATGTTTTGGTTTGGCATTTTAGGAAAGAGATGGGATGACAAGAACATTGAAGATCAGATCAATAATTCTGGGAGTAATCTAAGGTAATTGTACTCACAAGAGGAATCCTTGAGGGAATCTGAGAATGTCATATAAATGTGCACAACTTTAAATGTATTTATTCTTACAAGATTTTTTACCAAAAACATATACTTAACTGAGACTGGGGTTGTGACTCAGTGGTAGACAGCTTGCCTAGCACACTTGTGGCACTGGGTTCTCTTCTCTGCACCACATTTAAATCAATAAAGTTTATTCACAACTGAAATAAATTTTACATACATGTGTATTTAACTGTAAAATATACTCAGTCTTTTCAAAGTACTTGACATGCAAAAGTACTATGAAATTGCATATGTAAATATCACTGTTTGGATAATAGTCATAGGCAAGCTGTGTTGCAAAGCATTGTTTCCTCTCAATCTCTTTATTTTCTGGCAATTTGAACAAGTTGGAAAACCTAGTCTTTACCTGATGTTGGTAGTAATGTAAGCCTAGCACCTTTAAATAAATATAAAATCATGAATGAATCAAGCATTAATCATGTGCTGATCATTCTTTAAAGAAATCTTATGGTAAACTTCAAAGGCAAAGAACAGTATGGGGAAATTTTCAATGAGATTCCAGTTCTTAAGTAGACAAAGAAAAATTTTAATAGAGTGAATTCATATGACGGCATTATGTGTGCAACTGACTGCATATGTCCTTCATACCTTCACAGGCACTTCAGATCTCACTGTGGGCATGAATGCTATAAACATGAAGAGTGTGAAGAGAAGCCATGTGAATTGAAACAATACAGAAAATCTCTGGTTTCTCTCAAAAGTGTTCACACACAAATGTTAACACAAACTGGAGATGGACCATATGAAAGTACAGTATGTGGAAGAGTCATCAGTTGTTCCAGTGACATTCAAAGACATGAAGATTCTCATACTGAGTGCCAACCCTATGAATGTCAACAATGTGGTGAAGCCTTTTCTTCTCTCCCAGCTGTTCAAAGACACATGAGAACACACAGTGGAGGTAAATTTTTTCAATGTGAGGTATGTGGGAAAGCCTTTCATTCCCCCACTTTATTTAGAAAACATGAAAGAACTCATTCTGGAGAGAAACTCCATAAATGTAAACAAGGAGGTAAAACTTTGGTTTCATTCACAAGTCTTCAATGTCACATGATCAGGCACACTGGGAAAGCACATTTCAAATGTAAGGTATGTGGAAAAGACTTTGCTTATCCCAGTTTACTTAGAATACATCAGAGAACACATACTAGAGAAAAACCCTATGAATGTCCACAATGTGGGAAAGCCTTCAGTACTTCATCTTACCTCCAGATACACGAATGGACTCATACAGGAGAGAAGCCCTATGAGTATAAGTGGTGTGGAAAAGCCTTCACTCAGTCTGCTCACCTTCACTCTCATGAGCAAACTCATACTGGAGAGAAGCCCTATAAATGTCAACAATGTGGAAAA